CGAAGAGCGTCGCCTTCTCCTTGGGGGGTTCCGGGGCCAGCAGCTTGGCTTCTGCCTCAGGCGTCAGGTACTCCAGGTGGTGGTGGCCCCAGATCGGAGTGGTCAGGAGCTGCCAGCGCTGCGGGGACGCCGTGTCAGCACCCAGGGACAGCAGCACCGGGGACTGCCTGGACCTGGCGTGGTGCATCCCCCCAGCGCACGGGGATGGGGTGGGATTTTGGGTGGGGATGGAGGTGAGACTGGGATGGGGAAGGGATTGAAATGGGATTGAGAGAGGGACAGCATGGGGACAGGGATGAGATGGGGACGGGGATGGGACTGAGACGGTGATGGGATTAAGACAGCGATGTCAGCAAGGATAGCATTTGGGTGAGGTTGGGAATGAGACAGCAGTGGGGACAGGGATGGGATTTGGCTGGGAGTGAGAGTGATAGGGAAGGGTACAGGGATGGGATTCGGATGGGGATGGGACCGAGAGTGATGTGAGCAAGGATGGGATTCAGGTGAGTTTGGGAGTGAGACAGGGTTGGGGACAGGGACAGGATTTGGCTGGGATGGGACTGAGATGGCAATGTGGACAGCGCTGGAATTTGGATGGGGATGGGACTGGGATGGGGACAGGACTGAGAGGGGGACAGGGACAAGGATGGCCGAGATGGGTTGGGGACGGAGGCGGGAGGGCCCCCGCCGCGCCGCCCTCACCTCGCGCAGGGAGCCTTTGCAGCGCAGGAGCTTGTAGAGGACGGTGCAGGGGATGCAGAGCATGGAGGAGAGCGCCAGGACCCAGCCGATGGCGTCCCCCCACCACGGGTACACGTACGTCTTGTTGTAGGTCAGCGGCTTGTAGTTCACCACGTGGAACACGAAGATGCCCTGGGTGGAGAGAGGGGGGTGAGGCCCCGCGGGGCAGGGGGCTGGCAGCCCCAGACCCCCCACGCGTGTCGCCCCATGGCCCCGACACGCGTGTCGCCCTGTGGCTGCCGTGCCCGAAGCAGCCGCCTGGGGGAGCCCGGAGCCCGTGGCAGCGGGCACACGCACGCACAGGCGAGCACACGCGTGTCCCCGCGTGGGGCGGCCCCACTCACCACGCAGACCAGCGGCGTCACCACTGCCCAGCACCACTTCATGAAGGGCAGGGGCCGGTAGCCGATCATGCGGGCCACGTCGTCCATGAAGCGGTCGGCGCCTGTGGGGAGAAGGGCGTCAGCCGGGCCCTGCGGGCACCCATGTCCCCTTGTGTCCCGCCCCGTGTCCCCCTGGCCTCACCGTAGACCCAGGCAATGACCACACACTCCCAGAAAGCCTGCCACAGCAGCGTGATCCCGCTGGCCGAGTAGTTGTCAAAGAGCTGGAACACGTACATGCCGCCCTGCCAGGACGGCGCCGCGCATCACCGGGGCTGTGCCGGCTGCCCTGCACTGGCACAGGTGCCTCCACACCGGCACGGGCACAGCCTTGCCAGCACCGGTGCCCCACTTGGCATGGACGCCCTGCATGCCATGGGCACCCTGTGCTCCCACAGCACCCCCACGATGATGGGCACCCCCATGGCATGGGGACCTCCACAGCTACAGGCACCGCCACACCATGAGCACCCCCGCTGCAGCGCTGCAGCACCCTGCTGCACCCCGGTGCAGCAGCCCCAGGGAGCTCCCACCCCACACTGGGGCCCCATGGGAGGTGACGTCCCGGAGGCAGGCACGGGTGCCCGGCGTGGGGCCGGCTGGCCGGTGTCCCTGCCGCATCCCCCACCTGTGTGACCATGGAGAGGTCGATGAGGCAACAGACGACACAGCAGAGCGCGGCGGGGAGCTCGCGGCGCAGCGAGCCAGCCCCCGGCTGGGGGAACAGGTCCAGGATGCCCGTGATGAAACCCTCCACACCGACAAACTGTGGCAGAGAGCGGGGCTCAGCAGGGACGTGCCACCCCGTCCCCTCCCCGTACCTGTCCCCCTGCCCGCCGCTGCACCTGACTGTCCAGCCCCAGCACGAGAAGCATGAAGAAGAAGAGCGTGGCCCAGAGTGGGGACAAGGGCATCAGCGTCACGGCTTTGGGGTAGGCGATGAAAGCCAGCCCGGGGCCTGCGGGAGAGCAGGGTCAGCGGTGCCACCCCAGGGGGGGACACAAAGGACACGGTGCCAGTGGGCACCCGCAGCCCAGCACTCACCGGACTCGGCCACCTTGGAGATGTCCACGCCTTGCTCAGAGGCCATGAAGCCCAGCACGGAGAAGACGACGAAGCCGGCGAAGAAGCTGGTGGAGCTGTTGATCACGGCCAGGATGTAGGCGTCCCTGTGGGCAGAGCGGGTCAGGGGTGCTGGGGGGGACACTGGGGGACACACCAGGGGGATGCCCTGCAGCCGGCACAGCCCTACCTGTAGCAGTTGTTGTGGAAGCGGTTGTAGCTGCCCAGCGCGGTCAGGGCGCCCAGCCCGATGGCGTAGGAGAAGAAGATCTGGGTGCCGGCATCGATCCAGACCTGGGGTGCGAGGGAGGGTGTTGCGGGGAGGGTGCTGGGGGGGCTGCCCAGCACCCATCCCCCTCCTGCCCTCCTTGCCACCCTCACCTGCGCCTCAGCCAGCTTGGACCAGTCGGGTTTCAGGTAGTAGACGATGCCGCCCAGTGCCCCGGGCAGCGTCACCCCATGGACCAGCAGCAGGATGAGGACCACGTAGGGAAAGAGTGCCGTGAAGTAGACAATCTGCAGAGGAGTGGGTGCCGGTGAGATGCCCCGGGCCGGGGCTCTCCGTCATGTGCCACAGGTGTTCCAGCGGGACCAGGGCTCGGGGATGTCCCCAGCGGCTGGTGGCACCTCCCAAACAGATGTGGGACAGGGGTCTTACACCCCCGTGGGCTGTGGCACAGGAGGGCAGGAGCCGGCAGTGCCGTGTGCTGCAGTCCCATCCCCACATGCCGGTGGCCCCAGTGCGTGTCACTGCCCCGCCAGCATCACCTTCCCGGTTGACTTGACGCCCTTCCAGATGCAGAAGTAGACGACGACCCAGGTGGTGACCAAGCAGAGGATCATCTGCCAGTTCATCTCCCCCGGCTCGCTGAGGTCCCCCGAGAGCCGCAGCACCTTGTTCCTGCAGAGCAGGGCCATGCTGAGTGCCAGCGCGACCCCCCCGGCCCCAGGTGAGAACCCCCGGTCCCCACACTCACTCCCAAAACTCGATGACAGGCGAGCGCTTGCTGGCCAGGTCGGCACAGCTGAGGTTGAAGGGCCCAGTGCCGGCGCTGGCGTTGCTGCTGCCATTGCGGCAGAGCTCGAGGTGGAAGAGCTCGGCGCACTGCTCGGTGTTCCAGGCGTGGCCGCAGGTGGCCCAGGGCAGGGTGTCCGTCAGCGAGTGCACCAGGTAGAAGAGCCCCCACACCAGGATCATGATGTAGTAGGAGTTGCAGAAGAAGACGATCACCATGGAGGCCAGGCCCAGACCTGCGGCACGGGGAGATCAGAGCCCGCGGGCACCCATGGGCGCCCGGCAGCCTGGGGCGGGATGGGGGGTGCTGGCAGGGATGGGGCAGGACATGGGGTGCTGCTGGGGACGCAGGGAGCCGGCAGCCCAGGGTAGGACAGGGGGGAACCGGTGGGGATGCGGGGAGCTGGCTGCCCCAGGGAGGACAGGGGGGAGCTGGTGGGGACAGGACAGGGGGAGCTGGCAGCCCCAGGCAGGACAGGGTGGGGACAGCCGGCAGCATGGCACAGGACAGGGGGGAGCCAGCAGGGCACAGTACAAGGAAGCTGGCAGGACACTGCTGAGGTGGGGAACTGGCAGCCTCCGGGATGCCGGCAGCCTCCAGGGAAGCTGGCAGCAGGCAGGGAAGCCGGCAGCACATAGGCAGGCAGGGCTGGGCAGGGCAGCGCAGGGTGCCACGGGGCACGGGTGCAGGCAGCTGCCACCCTTGGCCAGGGTGCGTGGTAGCAGTGGGACGCGGGCAAGGTACACAGGAGCAGGCAGGGTGTGGGCAGGGTGCTGCCAGCCCCGTGCAGGGCGCCGGGGGCCCCCGGGCAGGGAGCAGGGTGCCAGGGGCCACAGGCAGGGTGCCAGGGGCCACAGGCAGGGCGCGGGCAGGGTGCATGCAGGGCACAGCGTTACCCTTGAAGAGGGGGGCGATGTTCCAGGCGGCGATGCCCCCCTGCTTCATGAACCCCCGCGCCGCCCGCCCGGGCGCAGCGAATGGCGAAGGCGCCTCTGCACCCTCCCCTCGCCGCGCCGCTGATGTAGGTCAGGGTGGGCAGGTGGCGGGGGGTTCCCCATGGACCCCCACCCCGGTGGGTGACACTGGACACCCGTGGGGTGGCCCATGAGCCCCGTGGACGGCCCCTTGCCCCGGGTAGGTGCAGGGTGGGCTGGCCCACCGTGGGGTGACCCCACATACGCACTATAGGGTGGAAAGCGGGGTGTCCCCACGCGCCATGGGGTGCCTCCCCACACCGCGGGGCAACCCCCCACGCCCCCGGGAGGCG